CTGGCTATTTTTTGTTTGTTTAGCAGGCCCAGGCCAGGTTTGAACCCACCAGTCCTGGTGCATGTGGCTGGCGCCCTAACACTGAGCAACAGGTGACCAGTAGCATTTTTCTTTTCTTTTTGGCCAGAGTTGGGGCTGGGTTTGGACCCACCACCTCTGGCATATGGGGCCAGCGCCCTACTCCTTTGAGCCACAGGCGCTGCCCAGTAGCATTTTTCTTAAAAAATAAAAAAAATTTCTTTATCCATCGTCTATTTTCTCCAGTTATCTCCTCACACTCCCTGCCTACCCCAGGTTGTTTTGTTCCATCTTTTTTTTTTTTTTTTTTTGCAGTTTTTGGCCAGGGCTGGGTTTGAACCTGCCACCTCCAGTATACGGGTCTAGAACCTTACTCCTTTGAACCACAGGCACCGCCCTGTCTTGTTCCATCTTTTACAAGAAAGCCTTGCCTTACCTATCTGGTAATCCTCCATTTTATTCAAATTTAAAAATGGGACGCAGGCCAGGCATGGTGGTTCATACCTGTAATCCCAGCACTCAGGGAGGCTGAGGTGGGTGGATTTCTTGAGCTCAGGAGTTTAAGACCAACCCAAGCAAGAGCTAGACCTTGTTTGTCTCTACTAAAAATAGTAAAACTAGCTGGGTGTTGTGGCAGGTGCCTGTAATCTCAGCTACTCAGGAGGATGAGGCAAGAGAATTGACCACTCTATCCAGGGAACCAGAGTAAGACTGTAGGAGACTGAGCACCAGGCTTATAGAAACGGCCACCTGTTCTTGAGGGAGGCGGTGGGAGCGTGACAATCTCCTAGCTAGCATGGAGATGTTTTGCTGCTCAGAGACAAGCCCCCAAGCAGCTGCAGGTGTTAGTAAGATCAGACGCTCTTCAGCAAGCAGGTGTTATACGTTGAACATTCCCAGTGCTGCAGGGTGGGAGTCGAGCTGGTAGGCAAAGAGCACGCAGCAACCATTAAGCACGTGATTCTACTGGGCCCCCACACCTGCTGTATAATGTTTCAATGAAATGCCACGACAGGTTACCTGGGGCTCTCTCCCTGCACCTATGGGAAGCCCACCTCTTTCAGGTTTATACCTTCAATCTGTGTCCCGGCTGTTTTTATTTGCATGGTGACAGGGTTCCACAGTGGGCACCAATGCAGGATTGTCTCAGAAGAGAATAAAGTAAAGCAGGGACTAAAATATGGATTAGAAGTTGTGTATGTTGTGGAAAGTTTGTCAAGCCTCACTCCTCAGTGACCTGGCTGGATCATTTATTAGGAAAACCTCAATTTCAACTTTAATAGATTTTTTTTGTTTTTGGCAGTTTTTGGCTGGGGCTGGGTTTGAATCCACCATCTCCAGCATACGGGGCTGACACCCTACTCCTTTGAGCCACAGGCACCACCCGTAGATCTTTTCTCTTGACCTAGGCAGATTCTCCAGAAGACTCTTCCAATTTCCTTCTGGGCAGAGGGTGGAGGATGGACAGATGAATCAGAACACTCAATTTGCATTCATTCACATTTCTGTGTTCATGTGTAAGCCACTTTCTTTTTTTTTTTTTTTTT